CAAGAATCACATAATTCGGAGTTCGAACGAAGGAGAAACGGCATGACGAAGAAAAACTAGCACTTAAGGTTAAAAGGGTAAACTGGTAATTATTCAGGAAGATCCGGGTGTAACTGAGCACATCATTGGAAAGATAGCAAAAAATTAGTCAAGTTCAAAAAAAATTTCACTCGATTTGCAGTTCGGACGAGGGAGAAATGAGGGTTTGAAGTTGAGACATCGTGGCGGCCCGATGAAGGCTATGGCAGCCCCATGCGCGCCCGACGCCCATACACGCACCCACCGGCGCCCTATGCGGCACCCAATGGCATGCATATGCTGACAACAAGGGTCCAAAGTAGATTTTCCATAACTGAGGCTTGAAACGGAGGCTGAAACGAATTTTTCTGGAAAAACACGAAGAATAACCCTCCCCTCCCCCAAAACGAGTTTTCTACCCAACAACACGGAAGGAAACGAAAAAAACTCACTGCAAAATTCCCAAAATGCACTTACATTAGAAAAGGTTAAGAGGGCCAAAAAAAAAAAAACTGCTACAGTATCTGTCCACAACTAAGAGCAAAAACGGGCTATCCAATGAATTTTTCTGAAAAAACACGAAGAAGAAACCCCTCATGAAATCAAATTTTAAACCTGAAAACGTGAAAAAAAAAAAAAAAAAAAAAAAAAAAAAAAAAAAAAAACTATGAAATGGCTAAAATGCCCCTAGATCAGTAAAGGCTTAAAAACTCAAAAAATTCAACTTTGCACCAAGTATGCATTTGACCCTAAATGCATTTTTAGGTTGAAATGAATATGCATGCAAGTGTAATAAATGATTCTAAGCGCGTGGGAATGGTCCGCGGCTCCCGTGAAGCCCCGACTCAAAATTCGACCCCCCGACGGCCAAAAATGATAAAAATGAACATGAAAATGGAATTTTGAAACTTAAAATTATAAAAGGGTTTCAAATTACCATTTGGCCCTTGGCCACACTTCATGCATGATTAATGAGACCCTATGAAAGAATAAAAATGGAATTCCCACACCCGATGCAAACATGGTGAGGCAATAACTTGCTATTTGTCAATATTTTCATAATATTTCATGAAGTCAGAAGTTACATAGGATACAAATTAGATGTCATTGGCCTATGGCCTCATCTCATACATGTCAAATATATTATAAAGAGTGTATTTATATACACATTACATGATTAGAATCAAATATACCCATTTTGACATATAAGGCTATAAGTGACATTTCAAGCCAACCTTTACAAGAATTAAAACCTTCAAGGCTATAAATTATCCAAGCAATATGAGTATCTCGAATCTTGATTTCTATACCTGAAAAATGTCCCCACTATGTGGGTAAGTAACATAAAGCTACTCATAGGAAATGAGCATGCAAAGACCTAAAGTTTTACAAACTAATTAAGTTGTTATAGTTTAACTTAAATGGTCATGCTACCTAGCGTCTATGTCAAATGTGAGACTTAGGGAGCATCCTAAGCTACCTTAAAGCATTTTTAGCATAAACCACATCATTCGTGCAATTTAAACAACATAAGAGCATGCGGTACAATGCAAAAAAGATAATTAATTTACAAGTATACGTACATAAGTATACACTCAATATTGAAATGTATTCAAGACAAGTATACAAGACACAAGTATACTAGGTTAGCCAACCTTTACAAGAATTAAAACCTTCAAGGCTACAAATTATCCAAGCAATATGAGTATCTCGAATCTTGATTTCTATACCTGAAAAATGTCCCCACTATGTGGGTAAGTAACATAAAGCTACTCATAGGAAATAAGCATGCAAAGACCTAAAGTTTTACAAACTAATTAAGTTGCTATAGTTTAACTTAAATGGTCATGCTACCTAGCGTCTATGTCAAAAGTGAGACTTAGGGAGCATCCTAAGCTACCTTAAAGCATTTCTAGCATAAATCACATCATTCATGCAATTTAAACAACATAAGAGCATGCGGTACAATGCAAAAAAGATAATTAATTTACAAGTATACGTACACAAATATATACTCAATATTGAAATGTATTCAAGACAAGTATACACGACACAAGTATACTAGGTTAACTCGAAAGTAAATCATCAATATACAAGTGTACACACCAAGTACGCTAAGCAATATTGAAATGGAAATGCAACATATATATATATTCAAGTATATATTTCTAAGTATACTAAATAATGCTGACATACATGGCATACAAGTATACAAATCCAAGTATACTAAGCATTTTTGATATATAAGGCATACAAGTATACAAATCCAAGTATTCTAAGCAAGAAATGAAGAATCGTGCATTCAAGCACAAGTTAAAAGTAATCCATGATTACAACTAGAAATTGAATGCGAAATCAACAATTGGCGGAAAAACAAAGGACATAAGGTCTCAATGACCAAGCAAGTGATTCCGGGTTACTAGCCTGTAAGGTACTACCTAGTGCCCAACTAATTCCGGAATAAAATCGTTATATTGGTAATTTTGGGTTACTAGCCCTCAGGGTACCACCTGGTGCGCACTATATGAAATAGAGGGAACTCTCATCCCCCGTACTAAAGCCATGCCCTAGCCGTAACAATTTTCAATGCCCATACAAGCTTTTCAAAAATCATCAAGTTGTACAACAAGTATATCACATATACATAATGCACCAAAATCAATCACTGCGCACAACCAAGTCATGGAATACACACAAGCCATGCCCTAGGCATTCAAGCTACAATGGCATATTAAATGTCATATAAGTAAAATGTGAACACTTACAAGTTAAATCATAACTTCAACTCATGGAATACTATCATGTAATCCTATAACAAGTTCTAAACTACAAATTAAGCAAGAATACAACATCAATGCCTAATTACCTCAATGGAAGCATAAAGGGGAATTTAATTATCTTAAGTATTAAATTCTCAAAATTACAAAGCAACTCCAAATATTCTACAATTCAGATATATCAAAGGTCATATCAAGGCCTATTTTAATTTCATTATACAAGTTAATTCTACACTAGGCATCACTAGGTGAATTAAATTTCATACAAGGAAATAATTAAACAAAGTATTCAAGACTCATTCAAATATTCTCAATTCAAGGTATGTTAATGAACATATCAAGGTCTAATTTAAAACCACATTAGAAGTTAATTTTACACTAGTTACAACTAGGTAAATTAAACTCAATGCCAAGAAAATAAATAAATAAATAAAGTTCTCTTAACTTATCCAAATATTCTCAATTTAGTATATATGATAGAACATGCCAAGCTCATCAACAATATCAAGTTAAAAATCCATTCAAGTGACTAAAGCACTTAAAATAAAATTAATTAATCTAATTAATTAATTTTTTCTAGATTTTGAAACAACTTCGATTGTTCTCAAATTAACATAGGTTAATGTACATATCAAGACCTATTTTAATATCACATTACAAGTTGATTTCATATTAGTTACAACTATGTGAATTAAATTTTCATACAATTGAAAGATTAAATAAAAGTTGCAATACTTATTCAAATCTTCCCAATTTAATATATGTTAACAAATATATCAAGGCCTAATTTAATAGCATGTCACAATTTAATTCCAAGCTATATACAACCATGAGAATTAAATTTTATCCGTAGAAAATAATTAAATTAAATTCTAGAATTAATACAAAGGCATGCTTACAAGTTGTATATGCTTAGAAAACAAACAATACAACATAAATATAAACCTAAAACATCTCCTACCTCATTTTGTGATTAAATCAAAAATCCCCACTGAAACAAAAATGCTCCGAATTCGACGATACTCCTAGGTTATGTCGGGGATAACGAGGGAAACAACTTTAACCTTTGAGGCACCATGAAAATCCAAATCCGAACTCAAAAATAGTCAGAATTGGCTTCTAATAAGGGGGAAAGGTGCATCTAGCCAAGACCTACGATAAACGTTAAGGTACTACGACATTTTACAAAGGGGAAGAAAGTCAATTTGAGAGAAGAAGGGTGGCAACCCCCTTTGGGCTGTAAAACTAATCCAGAACGTGTGGAGAAGAAGAGGAAAATTCTGTTTTAATTTTTCAAATCCCCTATTTATAAAACACTGAACCCGACCCAGTCCCATATGACCCAAAACCCGAAAATGTCAAAAAAAAAAAAAAAAAAAAAAAAAAATGAAAAAAAAATTAGAAATAAGGAACAAGTCGTTACAAATGTTGTTAGTAATTTTTTTTCAATTTTACTAACTTTAATTTTAAAAATTTAATTTCATATAACTGAATATAACCCTAAAGTATTTCCTTTCATTTAATCACACTTATCTAATGCATTTTTGGTGACCGCCTGCCATAATTCGATGATATGTGGCGAAGCCCTTATGTCGACTAGGCTCTATTCCATTTCTTGGCATGTGGCCCCCATTACCCATATTCTAATGTGTGCGCCTTTGCTCATCTATCTTTCTTCACATGCACCCTCGTACGACGTGAGCTAGGAAAAAGTCGGACGCGTTTATACAGTTTTATATTGAAAGGAAAAGTTAATGTCTAATAGAAAACAATAAAAATCATAAAATTGTACAAAAGGTTATTTAGTTGGAGTTTTCTAAGTACTCCGTCATAAAGAAGAAAAATTCTAGAGAGTTATTTTTTGCAATACTCCGAATTTTTTGTTTCACTTCTTAAAAATTATATTAAAAAAAAACTGAACCAAATAAATTTTTAATATCAAACAGATTAATTTTATTGATTTTTATAGTTGTCCGACTTTTGAACTTGTATATATATATCATTCTCATGCCCAATCAAACACACAATAATTTATCTCCGGTCACCAAGTAATTCTCGGTAGGAGAGAAAATCTATAATACTTTGAGATATTGTATGTAAATGGTATCTCAGGGAAACTCTCAATTTGCCCAAATATACCATAAATCGAGAATTTCAATCCTGTCTATTTGGTGGGAATATAACCAACCTCAATTAATATCCTAATCAATCCATATTGCTCTGGTTATTGTTAGAGAGACGACTAGGCCTAACACATGCAACTGAAGAGAGATTCAAAGATTACAAATTAAATAATTACTTGAAAAAGAGGGGCCTTCTAATGGAGGTTACAAAAGAGACAATCAAATAAAATATGAAAAGCCAAAGAAATTATTTGCTTTTATTAGCAGCTCTTCACCAGGGTTTTAGAGGAACCCCAGTTGACAGCAACTCTTGATTCTCTATCCTCAGCCAGTATCCTCTCCAGCTCGCTTGGCCTGCATGGGATTGTTAGAGCACCTTCATGATCGAAACCGTACTCTTCGGCTGCTTGCTCCAACAGTCTCAAGAAGGATGGGTTGGTCAGAAAGCTCAATGGAACAATGAATCTCTTGAGTTCATCGTCGTCCACTGCCATCACGGCAAAGTGCCCTTCCTTCACGTCCTCCGGCACATTCATGGAGTCATTAACATCTTCAAACTCGTCGGAATTAGAGGCCGGTTTCTTGCCCTGTAAAAGACTCTTTTGTAGTTTTTCTACAACAATCTTGAGCTTTATAATGCTATTCTTCTTCTTATTAGCACTGGTTCTGAAGTTAACCATGGCTAGCTATAGCTTTGTTTCTTCTTTTTTCTTTTTCTAAAACTCAGTGAGTGCGTTTTCTCAGCATGTTAGCTTGCTTATTTATAGTGTAAGAGCTGGTTATCAAGAGATAAGGTGAGCGTACGCATACTACAATGAGAGATGGAGAGAGAGGGAGGACATGGTCCGACTGACTTTGGTGTAAATACGGGAGACCAGTGCATGTGAGTGAACTCTCATCACAACCCATGAAACGTCCTTTCTAACTAATCATGTCTGTCTCCCAATTATTAATAATAGTTCTATCTTTGTTCAATCAATTTAATTGGTCAAGTCTTAGTTTCCTATATATATATCTATGCTATTTCAGTACTAGTGTTGCATGTTTTACTATTAATTTCTTGTAAATAATTAGTTTTGTGAAATAAAAGGCTAACAAAGACAGAGAAAAAGAAGAAAAATATCTCAACGTGACTTAATAGTACTAATTAAAAGTCGGTAGAACCTAAAACCGTAGAAATTATATTAATCTTTACCTATATATATATATATATATATATATACATGAAAAGAGTAATATTAGAAAAAATTGATTCGTTTTTGTAATTACACCAATAAATAAAGTCTGATATGGAGGACTCTCGTCTCACATCACGTCCATTATATAATCCTACAAAAAAAAAAAATCTACTGTTATGCTTAGTATCATTTTTCATATAAAAAGCATTAATTACGATATGATTACCGTATGCATGATGTGTGTGTATATATATATATATATATAATGTACTTTGTATATATTTATCCAAAAGGGTGAGGGTTCTTGATAGAGAAAATACGTGAGGCAATTGAGCAATGTTTGGATATTCTTGATAAATGTAGTACAAATAGAGTACATTCAAAATCATGCCTCTCAACCTCTACTTTTATATCTTGCCCCACTTGAAAAATACAATTCCTTTACATGGACGGCCAATGCAGTACAAATGTGAAGGATCTAGATATTTCATGTAGACATATTTCAGAGTCTTAATTTTATGTCTGGTTTATTCTTGGCTTATATTAGCGTGTGTGAATTTTTGGCTAGAATATATATTTTTTTTGGGTAATTATTTGGTTATAATTTTGTTTTGATTTGGGACACAATGAAACTTATTTATTTATTTATTTATTTTTGTTTTTTATCACGCGTTAATTTGAATTTTAGTCTCTATTATATAACAATACATATACAAGAATATTAGGGGTCAGGGGTTTTATAAAATGAGTAAGTGAGAATACTACTTAAAGTTAGAATAAAGAGAGAGGAAGATAAATGATTGAGATTTGAGACTTATAATATCTGTTTGTTGTTGGAATAATAAAATTGTAAATGTATCGAATGGACACATACATTTATTTGTATTGTCTGGCACATAATTTATGTTTTTCTATCTTTTATTTGTTGTGTTTGTAGTTCCGTTAAAACGTCATATTGTAAGAATCAATAAAGGCCATTGGGTTTGACTAGGGATTGACGTGAGTTCATTGGGTTTTGCATCCTTTGTGGTTTAACTTAGGAAATATGTAACTTTTGAACATGTGACAGGAAAAAAAATTTATTGCACCAGTTGCAATAACGTATGGATCCAATCATTTATTATCCATATGTATATTATATAAATATTTTGATTGTGCTCGTCGCACAATATAACGGATTTAATGAAAAAAATTTCATGTCACACTTGGAAGAACAATGATGATTAAATTGAATTATTTTTATGACCAAGAAATTGCATATTTATTAATATCTCGAGGTATAGTAGCCGTGATTACCCAACTCTTGAATATGGTGGGATCCACTACCACATATATGATCCGAGAGTGCCATTGTTTCGGAGTATCTCCCTAATTTTTTAATACTTTCTCCTATAAAAAATGGAAGTCTCACTCTCATTCTTCTCACATTAAAAAATAGGATAAAAGAAATACTATTAAATTACATGTCATTTGTAATCAAGATTGTATTGGGAGGTGGAGAAAGTACTTGGTCGTTCAAGTGCTAATCAAACACCTGACACCCTCTCATACATGTACGTATTTGGCTTTTTAGAGCATTTTCAATAGTCTTTTTTAAATTAAACTACCTGAATTTGTCATATCACTATTTTTCAATAGGCATATAAGTATTTTTTATAATCACGTCAGCATTTTAGAGTCTCTAAACTTTAGCTATCGTATGTATTCTAATAATGCATTTTTATTCTAAAAAAATATTAATATTTTAATATTTTTAAAATTTAAAATAAAATTTATTTTTTAACTTTTTCCTAACGACGCTGTTTGGGTCAGCCAAATAGTACCTAAATTTGAATTTTAACTTTTATTTCAGCCAAACATACCCTTAGGAACACTATTCTGGACTCGTACAGTGTTCTGGCTTGAATTTTTTATTTTTAGAAAAAAAAAAAAATGGGCCAACAAAAGGTGAGCCCAATCGCCTTCCAAATGTGGCTTTCTGGCTACCTTCATGAAGGGTTTAAATTTGGAACTCACTTTTTTCATATTCTATTGGAGCATGCAATCTCCAAAAGTTATTTCATTTTCGTCAAATAGAGCACTAATGGAGTTGCTCTTATAAACTTACTAAAGCATAACTATGAATTAGTGAACAATCGTGTTTACTTTGTAATCACTGCATCATAGTGATGGGGTGCCCAAAAAAGAGGTGGAATAGTGACTAGAGGGGGTATAAAAAACCGGTTGAATAAATAAATCAAATTAAATCGAAAATTTTGGTTTAATTTTTTTTTATTCAAACTGTGACACCTCTAATAATATTAAATTAATGAAGCCAAAGTCATCAAATAATATTGGAAAAAAGTGTTTGAAACCATAGACCCTGCCAGTTGGTGGCAGGGGAGGAGGGAAGGGGGCTATGGCCCGCAAATGTTTAATTTTTAAAAATATCTTGTTTGTAGTACAACATAAAAATCTAAATCACCTGCCCCATATGCATGTTTACCATCTTCGTTTTCCGATTTTTATTTTATTTGTTTTTTTATTTTTTATTTTTACTCACTCACACACTTATATTTTTACTGAGATTTAAATCTCTAATCTTCTTTTGAGAAGTAAGACTTGATATCACTGAAGCTACCAGCTCATTGGTAAGTTCTCTAATCTCATCTACACAAGACTACAAATGGTCAACAGATCAAACCGGGCCGTAAAATTTGATTTGATTTTTTTCAATTTGAACGGCGCGGATCCAAATAATGCCAAATGAAAGCGAATTTAACAAATAATATGAAAAATAATTGTTTGAAACCACGACCCTGCCCGTTGGTGGCAGGGGCGGAGGAAGGGGCCATGGCCCACCTCAAATATTTTATTTTTAGAAATACCTTGTTTGTGGTATCACACAAAAATTTAAAACACTTGCCTCACATTCATGTGTACTAATTCATAATAGTTCTTCTAATCTTTGAAGGTTACAAATGCTCAACGCGTCTCATATGCGTGTTTACTAACTCATAATAGGTCCTTTGATCTCATCCACTGAATATTACAAATGCTCATTGCTTTTTCAGTCACATATAACTAGTGCATATTAAAATAAATAAATTAAAAATTGGATATACGAAATTTTAACTCAGAATGTGGATAGGTAATTTGCAATTTTAGGGTTCCTGGACCCGCAAAGTTGGTGCATATGTTATTCAAAAATTCACATCTGCCAATCAAATTTGCCTCTCATAGAGTATTAAAACAAATGTCTAATATATATATATAATTATTTTTCTATTTGAGCACACTTGATTGTCATTTCTTATCAGAAGAAAGCTCTGGCGCTATGACCCATTCGACAAATGAAACTGTACTTTTATCTGGCCTTATCATTCATTCCAGTCTTACTCTTTGATATAAAAAGCACTCCAACTTCATATATATATATATATATATATATGCGCGCGCGCGTATAGTAGATGATGAGCTGGATGAAAAAGGCCCAAAAAGTGACGAACAAATGATAGAGGTGGAAGGCACTTTTTCTGTGGGGATTATATCTACCTGTCAATAATAGATATTTTCCCGGGGCAATATTTTCTTCTTGTTTGCTAGGAACAACATTATTGGGAATGGACCACAATCTGCACTGGCTGCTGAGAATAGTCTGTTCCATGTTAGCAACAAAAGGTAAAAATAGCACCAAAAATAATTCTTATTCTTGGCTTATTAAATGAATAAAAATTTAATAAGCCAAGAATAAGAATTATTTTTGGTGCTATTTTTATTTTAGCTGATATTTTTATTCATTTAATAAGCCAAGAATAAGAATTATTTTTGGTGCTATTTTTACCTTTTGTTTTTTTATTTATTAAATGAATAAAAATTTAATAAGCCAAGAATAAGAATTATTTTTGGTGTATTTTTATTTTAGCTGATATTTTTATTCATTTAAAAAGCCAAGAATAAGAATTATTTTTGGTTCTATTTTTACCTTTTGTTGCTGATAGGGAAAAATATAAACCTACCCTACCCTCGATAAGATTGATTAGATTTCATTATCAAGGATAATGAAATCAAATCTGACGTAGTTCAACAAGTAAGAATAATCCTACTATAACTAGAGGAGGTCAAAAGGATTAAATCATATCCCGACAAATCTGGTAATAAATCTCCTATAATTTCGTACAAGCAGAAGATAAGGTCAACCATCGATATCAGCAGAACGATTTTGATTCCAATCGACAGCCATAAATAGGGCATCAAGCCATTAAAGAATGTACGACGTAAAAACTATTATTAATCCCTGCCTTCTTTTTAGACCTCCGTGACTAATTTGATCGTCGGAGAGCTCTTGGCAGACACCACACCGGTGCCGTCAAGGTTCATCGATCTTCTCCTCTTTTCCTTGCAGGAAAGCGGTATCGTATCGGACTGTGCGAATTTCAGCCTCAACAGTTGGCGCCATCTGTGGGAATCACGATTCCCTTGAATCAATTAATTACTCGTTGGGTATATACGTTTGCAGTCCGGTATAGTTACTGAAGGAACACCATTGCAGGGATCTGGTCAAAGGGTAGAGTCGGGTGAAAACCTGGATGTCCCAAACGACCAAGCACGGCTTGCAGCTTTAGAACTACAGGTTCAAACTCTGAGT